CAGTGAGGCTGGTTATGCATAGGAAGGGATTACCCAGTGATGTGATGGATGCTGCATCCCTGAAGGTGTGCAAGGCCAGGCTGGATCAGGCGCTGGGCAACCTGGAGGAGATGTGGGTGTCTCTGTTCATTGCAGAGTTGGACTAGATGGCCTTTAAAGGCCTCTTCCAACTCAGAGGAGCCTATGATTGTACGAAGGGCATCACGCTGCAAGCAGGAGCGGCTGCTTTCCCACCATACTTACAACCACCATCCTGCTTTTCCTCATCCTCTTCCTCCTCTGTTTGTTTTTCCCCACAAAACCTCAGGGCTATATTTTTCTTTTTGTTATTTTTGCCTGAAGCAATAAACCAAAGCCCCGCAAACTGTGAGGATAAGTCCTGATTGTTTCTTATTTAAACTGATTAAGCTGATCTGCTTAACGCTCATCTCCAGCCGGGGATGCAGCGGGGACAGCTTGGTCAGTGCCTGCATCCATCACGGCTGGGGAAGGACCACGTTTGAGCCCAGGGCAGCACGGGCCCCCCGAGGGACGCGCAGCGCCGTGGGGAGAGAACTGAGGGCGTTGTGCTGGAAGCGGTGCCGGACTCTCGGTGGGCAGCACTGCAAGCAGGGACGTTGCTGAGCTGCGTGGAGGGTGGAGTTTGAGCTGCGTTTGCATATTTCGCTTCTGTTTTTGAAGTTTGCCAGGAAACTTGCTAAGGAGGCTAATGCTGAGGTTTAAGCCTTTTTCAGAGCAAAGCCATCTGACCCAGTTAAGTCACCTGTCCCCCAACATAACAGGATCTCTTCTAAACCCTTCAGCTCTGCTGAGAAAGCCACTGCAAATCCTCCTTCCCGAGGCACGGCGTTGGGTGAGCAATGGAGAGCAGGGCGGCCAGGCGTCTCGCAGGCTCCCCGTGTGGCTGCATCCCTCCCTGCCAGGTTTATTTTGGTACCAGGAGGGATTTGGATCATCCCTGCCTACCTGGAGGTGCAGCTCTGCTCCATTTCTCAGTAGCTTCTGCTATTTTATTTTCCTGAAGTGTTTGCAAGTGAAGTGTGAGCGCACATCTGCAGCTGCTGGGGAAGCCACTTGCTCCTGTATGATCCTACCAGGAAATGAGTTTGCAACACGGCTGGCCTGTTAAATGTGTTTCTGCTTTAATTAAATCCACACTCATTTTGGATGCAGCCATGGGTGGGAGCTCTTGTCCTTATCAGCATGGCCGCTGCCCCCCCAGGTCTGAGGGTTCCACATCCCATGTGCTGTGGGGCACTGAGCTGAGCACGTGGAAGAGGTTTTCCAAAGCTCTGGGCTTCCAGAGCATCCCTCACCACGTCTGCTGTGAGCACCTGGGGTCCCGCTGCTGCTGCAAGGGCGCTGCTGGCAGCTCACCGCCTGCCGGTGCTACAAGTGGGCTCTGGTATGAGCAGCCACAATCTTCCCAAATATTTGCATTGCAGCAGATGTTACTTTATATTTGTTCTTTCCCCGAAGTCTTTGGTTATTACGGAGAGGCAGAGATGCCAGGTGTGGCTGTAACTACCAAAATCAGGGCTCATTCAGCGCTTTGATGACATCAATTAGATTCAGGGTGCAAGTGCCAAGATTTTTCCAATTAAGGCAGGTGAATTTTCTCAGTCTATAATAATCTCATTTGAAGTGGTTCAAATTAGTTCAATTTCTTTTGTATGGAGGCGCACATGTACATATGTGTGTGCAGTAGAAAAGTGCTTGCTGTGCTGAGACTTCAGGCTGTGAAATCTGTCTACGTGTGCACTGTTTTATCTGGAAAAGATCTGCTCTCTGCTGATGTGTGTACGTGATCCCAGCTCCATGCATCATCGCTCAGATGCTCCCCTGTAGCACATGGATGCTGCCACGTGTGGTCCCCAAGGGCACGGCTCCATATCAGCAATGAGGTGAGCTGGTTCCTCCCGAACGTTTCAACCCAAGTAGAAGCAAAAGGGAACTTGACCTCTACAGGGGGAATAACTCATGGGCACAGTCAATCTGGAAGGGAACTGTTCAAATCCAGAGCAGAAATGGAACCACCAATCTGCTTCCTTCCTTGCTTGTGAGCACTGAACATCCCACAGCACTGGGAAGAGGTCTTGCTGTCCTTGCTTTGCCTGTCAAGTGGATAAGCAGCAAAGTGTAACCTTCAGTGCTTTCGTTCAGAAAAGAACTGCATTCACTTTTTCTTTCATGAGAGAGCATTAAATCCGAGAGGATTTGCGGTTGAAGCGAATTTCATATCCCAATTTCCCCACTCAAGAAATAGAGTACCGCATCCAAGCGGCGTCAGAAGCAGTTAGGGGGAAGAAAAGGGAGCAGAAACTTGCAGCCTGCACAGAAGAAGAAACTCAAAGTCTTTGGTGCGAAGGGAAGAGGCGTATCTCCCTGGAGAATATGATAATTTATAATGAAACATTATCTTTCAGACCCATATGTTACGTTTTCTATTTATGGCTAATTTGCTTAAGCATTTATAATGTGCGCCCCAGGGGAGGGCGGTTTGTCTCTGGGCAGCCGGCTAGCAGGGAGGGGAGGAACGCAACGCTTCCATCTGAGCATGCCAGCAGTCTGGGAACCAACAGCATCCACCAGCAGCGACGCTTGGGTTGGAGCCAGGAGAGCGTGCACGAAGATGATGAATGCTCCTTTCAGCCTTGCTGCGAGGCCGAGGAGATCCTGGGGTATAAAGATGAGAGTCGACGCTCGCGGTGTGACGGCGCTGCTCTTCCTGCCTGAAATTCAGCCACAAACATTTCAATCACAGCCTCAGCGAGGGGTGGATAACCCAGATGACTCCCCCATTCCCTCTCTGCATCACTAAAGTATTTTCAGATCTGATCCCAGACGCCTCAACAAGACGTTCACAGATCGGTGCAGGAGCGATTCTCCCCTTGATGCTCGAATTTCGCCCTTGAGTTCCCTGAACGCAGCAACAAAAAGGAATGTCTCAAGGTTTCCTCCTGCTATTTGACCCACATGTCTGCATCCGAGCACGTCGGGGCACCGAGGTCAGCTCAGCTCTGTGCTCAGCGCTTCGTTTTGGAGATGGCATCAAATGTTCCTCCTTGACAAGGCAGAGCCAAAAGACAAACGAATGAAGGAGGAGAAGGAAGCAGAAAACCACAGGGCTCAGTGCAGGCGAGTGGGGAGCTCTGAATGAGGAAGCAGGGTGCTACCCCAGCACACTGGGAAGATGGATGGCATGGCAGTGGTACTGCCGTGGTCTCCCACTCATCAGAAGTAGTAATAATGCTAATTAAGATTATTTATTCCTATGCAAACTCTCCATCCTCAGCAGCACACACAAAAGGTCGTGGAGTCCAAATTCTTCCTGCCCTACGATCGGTTTGGTGCTTGCCTAGCACAATACTCATTGCCCATGCCTGGAGTGGGGTCACTGCCTGGGTTATTGATTAAAAGCCTGTTCAGGATCAATAACCAGTCCTGTTGCAGGGCTGCTGCCTCTCCCATGGGTGCAGCAGTGATACCAGCAGCACCAATACCAGCCCTGTGCCTTCACCCCCCCGTGTGCCTGCAGCTGTTTGATGTGCAAGTGGGGGTCCAGCACCTGCCTGATGCCGTACCAGCCTCCTGGAGTCAATTTCAATGGAGGAAATCAAAGCCAACTATTAAAACTCATTACCATTTTTATCTCTAATGCTGCAGATTCTATTTGCTGTAATTTTATTGGAATTGAAATGCATATTGTATTTGTGCAGGCAAGGATATCTTCTTTCTCCTCGTTTTTGCTCTGAGGAACACTCAGTCACGAGCACAGCAGTGAGAACACCAGCCCAGCACATCCGTTGCGTGGCCGATTCCCAAGGAAAGCACAGTTTTGAAGTGCTGAGTATCAGCGGGCTGCAGGCTCACCAGGAGAGCTGGATTGCAGAGAACAAAGTTCAGACCACGTGCAAACGTTTCAGTGCGTTCCAAGCATCAGCACCAAGGCAGCCGCTGTCCTCTCCAGTGCCTCTCTCTCTCCTTGTTCCCCATTCAGGTGCATAAGGGCAGTGTGGGCTGCGAGGGGGTGGATCTATACTGCTTCTCCCCTCCCTGTGCCCACTGTCATCTCTGTTGGTGGCTGGGATGGGGCTGGTGGCAGTGGCTTTGGCCCCAGGGCTCTCCTGTTGATGGCAGCACGGCATCTCCTCAGCTTCTAAAAGTGGCCATCAAACAGTAGATTAATGCACTCCTGTAAAGCTGAAGACCTCAGATTTCTTTTCCAGGGCTGCGCTTTGATATTTTGTTCAGGAAGATGAGAAGAAAGAAGCAGAGAGGGAAAGCCGTGCGCTGGTGTGCTTGGAGCTCAGTGTGGGGATGGTGCAGAGTTGTGCTGTACAGCGGGGATTTTGGCACAGGCATTGCAGGGGGGTCAAGAATGGTGAGGATGTGAGCAGTTAGCACTGGTCTGGACATGGGCACGAGCACGGGGGTGGTGTGATGTGATGTGTGGGCCATGGCAGCAGCACGAGGGGTGCAGCCACAGCGGGTTCCTCATGTATTCCTTTCCATCTCTCTGTTTCCTTCTTCCCTATTCAATACCAGGATGTTGCTGTGATGTTTTTTTTTTATTATTATTATTATTCTTGTGAAAACAGAGTATCTCCCAGTTTACCAAAAGAGAACAACAGTATTGACTGATACACAACAGCACATTTGGTTTCCCATTATATCTTAATGGAGCGTAACAGGCGTTGTGCTGGGGATGATCGCCCTGAGCATCAGTGCAACAGCTGCAGTGGGGGTGGGCATCCCCAGGGTGTGCATTCCTACAAAGCAGCCACTCCATGCTGGTCCCAGCACTGCTTTGCACCCTCCTCCTGTATTTAGCTCTCAAGGAAGAGCAGAATTAAGATGCTGCAGTGCTGCTCTCTCCAGAGCGATGGGCGTTTGGTCGCTGGAACCGTTTTATACCTCGCAGCTATTTATGAGTTTCACTGAGACGTCGTTCTGTGTATTGATGCAAAAGAATTCACTGCCTTCCCTCCCTACTCCAGGGCTCTGCCTCGCTGTACTTAAAGCTTATGGCTCACTACGCTTAGGATTTGTTTCTCCAGCACTGGTTGCTCGGAAATTTTCTTCCTGTGGGCCACAGATGTTAATTCCAGCTGTATCCAATCTAAGAGTGCGAGTTGCTGATTTACGGATGGGAAAAGGTGTTTCAGCTGGAAGCAGGTAACTTTCACCACGTTTCCTAAGACGTGTGAGGCACTTCTTGTGATTTCTCTGTGCAGTTTGTCATTGTTATGCTGCTGTAAATCCAGCCTGGCGATAGGTGCAGCAGATGGTTGGTGGCGATTTATATTGTAATGCTTGGGACGTGCGTGAGCGTCCCATATGTGAGAACAGCAGTGGAGGTGTTGGCCCTCAGCTGAGCACAGCGCTGCCATTCTGCCCTGTGTCTCACAGTGTTCTGTCTAAGAAGATGGGGAAGAAATGGGGTAGGGAGCAATGTGCAAGTTGTAGGGCAGGAAAATCCCCTGCAAGCCAGGTGAGACTTGGTCTGTTGGGGCTGCATGCACTGAGCATCCTTTGGGTTGCTCCTTAACTGTGCAAATCCAGGCAGAGCTCTTCACTGAGTTACTACCAGACACGGATGGCAGAGAGCTGCCTCTGCTCTCCCCTGTGCAGGGGAAATCTGCCTTCCTCCCTTTCTGATACCAAAATGCCACACTTTCTGGTGAAACACATCCTCTCCGCAGGTTGTAATAGGGAAATCTGCTCTTGCGCAGCAAGCAGAGGCTCTTCTCTGACAGCCAAATTAATATTCATTATTCATTAGGGAAGAAAACGCTGAGCTGTTTATCATTGCTTCATTAGATTTAGCCAAATACAAGCTAAACGTAATTGCTTGCATAAACTCCTGTGGCAAGGCGTGCAGTTTGTAGTCAGAAAGGAAGATCTTAAGGACGTGTACATAGCAAAAAAAGTCTTTCTCCAGTCTTTGTCATCTCCTCTTCTGTTTGTTGATGAGCAGCAAGGCAGCAGAAAGGCAGCGCCAGCAGCAGAGGCCCCAAGCTGCTCCCGTTTTGTTTGGCCATTTTGCAGTTCCAGGAAGGGAAGTGCTGGCTCAGACAGCAGCTCAGCATGCAAAGAGAGGCACCACCAAAGCTTGGCTGAACCCACTGCCTATCACAGCATCCTGCCTCTCCCCAGCAGTGCTGTGATGCAGCATCACTGTGCTGGGGATCCGGCTTTGGCCTCCCAGTTAATTAAATTAATCGAGGCTTCCCCAGCTCTGCTCTCCCATTAACAGTGAGCAGTGCAGTGCCCTGGGGAGGCTGTGCGTGGCCCCAGCCCCAGGGATGCCCACAGCAGAGGAGTGCAGCTCAGCACCCAGGCCTTGACCAGAGCTCAATGCTTCTGAAATGCACCCGGAGAAGAAGCAAAGGCTGTTGAGCACTGCTTGCTAATTACAAAGTGCATTCATTTTAGCACCCTGCTATCCCATAATTGATGTTGGATACCTCTCACAATGAGCCTGATTTAAATGTATACATGTTTCTCCTTCTCCTGCAACCCTGCTGGCGGTGAGACACCTAATTAACAGCAGAGCTTTCAAAGTCTCCCTAACAAATGCATCCCTGTGTTTCTTAGCACAAGGACTCTCATTAGCAAAGTTGTGCTTTGTGATTATTTATGCCTCTTCTATAATTAAAAATTCTAAAAGCTAATTACAATTATCCATCAGGTTTCTCAACATTCCAGGACCAGAGACCTCAGCCTCCTCACCCTGCAGGTTTCCATGGGCATCCCCTTGTCCTTGAGCTCGCCCTCCCCACGCTGCCCCCCCCCGACCTGCCTTTCAGCTGCCTTGCCCTCTTCCATTCCTCTCCTCCTTCTATTGCTTTGCTTTTGCGATGCGCTCGGCTTCCTGGCTGCCAGCAGTGCTGTTGGTTTTAATGGCTGGGAGCAGCAGGCGATGCCCAGCGCCGTGCGTTGGCTGCGTGGCACCGACCCCAGCTCCCGCTGTTGCCCATTGACCCACGTGGCACTTTCCTTCTAGGTTGAGGCCAATTATTCCCGTTGCCATGGCAATCCAGAAATGGAGCTTTCTCAGATCGGAGAGCTTGGGTTTGGGCTGAGCTGGAGGTGCTGGGGTGGCTGTGGGCTCCTCATTGCCCCTCTGGTCCATGCTGGGTGTGGGGATGCGCAGAGCTGCTGTGGGCCACACGAGTTCCCCAGCAGAGCTGAGTCTGGGAAGTCATAATCTTAATATGAACATCTTTAAATATCCCCACTAATGGGCTCATTCTTTAATTTCCTGAAGCAATGACAGCTTCAACAGACCCTACATCAAAGCTAAGATGGGATCTGTCACTGAGTGGCTGAATTATATTTCATCCTTTATTTTTATCAGCTCCGCTGACTTATTTATTACATTTAGAGTCCAGGCTAGCTTTTGTCTGGCCTGCGCCTCACTGCTGCTCGTGGAGAAAAAGCAATAGTTTATAATGCCATTTTCACAGCGTCCCCATAATTTGGGGCCACGTCTGAGGCTTCATTTTGAATGAAACTCTGCAGATAAAACTGTTATTCACGGCGATGCCTGCAAAGTCCTTGGCAGACCCCGGGGAACACTGCCTGCTTGTAAAGGGCTTTCCCTCAGATTTATTTTTGTAGAACAAAGGGCAATTTTCCCATCTTCCCAGCAGCAGCCTATGTGGCAGATGCTGCTCAGGGTTGCTGTCTTTCAGTGTATTTTGGGGTTGTTTGTTATGCTGGAGACAAATCCTAGGCTGCGTGCGCTTTGGGCTCAAGCTCTGGGAGTTGCCTCTGGAGTTTGCTGGCAGGTGGATGTGGGGTCACCCCATTGCCAGCCAGGATGCTGGCAGCAGACACACAGTGCTGACCTCCAGCAGGGACAGGGAAATTTCCAAGCGGAGATGGAGAGCAATGAACCATCCTCTCCCAGAGCTGCGCTGGGGAGTGGAGTCAGAGCGGCGAACAGCTCTCCAGAGCATCTCCTGAGACCCAGCGAGTGCCAGAGTTAATATATTTAATATATTTCGTGTGGACTCTGCCAGTCATTAGGAATGTGCTTGTTCTGTCATTGCTCCGAGGCAGTCACGGTGAAGCATTTGTCCTCTGAGTGCACGGGGAGAAATTACAGTGCCCTGAGCTGAATTGGTCAGCCAAAAATAATGTACGGCTTTATCCTCGGCAGGAAATTGGACATTGATTGGAGGACAGAAGTTCGGAGCAAGAGTTAAAGCAAAGTGACATTTCCATACATTAGGGAAGCGGGTGAAGTCGGCCCAACGCAGTGTGTAAATCTCCGAGCTCTGGTTGCAGGGCTTTTGCCAAGAGCCTCCTCCCAGCCCCAGCTCAGGGCATTGTGCTGCCTGGGGCTCCTACCAACTGGCAGCACAGGAACGACTCGTCCTGGTGCAGGAGCATTGCCCAGGGCCATAGGATGCCTGCTGCAGGAGGTGACTTTACAGGAGCAATGAGGTGTAAGCAGCTGGCAGGACTCAGCAGGGTGATCTCTGCTGGGAGGCACTGGCCGTGCATTGCTACGCTGCCAGCAGGAGGGGAACAGCCTGGGGAAGAAGAAGCCAACGGTGCTGAGAGCTTCCCAGCACGGCACTGCTGCCAGCATTGCTCCCAGCACAGACTGCTCCCATGCCCCGGGCACAGCCAGCTCTGCAGGTCGCAGTGAGGATCAGTGATTGAGTGCCTTGGTGAAACCCGGGCTGTGGAAGTTATGGGTGAGATGCTGCAATCGTTATCACACTGATTTATCAGTCCTAGGGGAGGTGATGGATCAGAGCACCTCTGGTGAACCTGAACACAGCTGAGCCATCACTCCCAGTGCAGCAGATGCAAGGAGCCGCTTCTGTTTCGAGATGTACATTTTTTGCACCAACAGCAGATTTCCCCATCTTTTAATATAATAATCTCCTTTAAAAAATCTCCTTAGCCATTGTTTATGCGCCTTAGGTTTCTGTGCCATATGGAATATATATTAGGAAGGAAAAAAGGCACTTCTGGCTTAGGTAATTATGAGATTGCTTCTATTGCTGCTGACACAGTGGTGGCAGTGCGTGGGCCTGATCTCCTCCCTGGCTGCTCCCAGAGACCTGAGCACAGCCCATATTGGAGTTCTGCACTGCCCACGCCGGCAACAACAAACCAGGAGCTGGGCTGCTGTGCTGGGGAGGCAGGAGTCACCCTGAGTGCAAGGCCTGTATCACTCCAACTACAAATTTCCCTGGGAACTTGTCCAAGATGACAACTCCTATCACCCTTACCAGGCTGCCGGTGTTAATGTCATTAGTTCCACATGCATCAAGCTGGAGAAGTGGAAGCCTGCATCGTTCTGGCACTTGCAAAAGAAAATTCACAGTCAGTTGCACGGCCGTACGTGTGGTACTTCACAGGAACAAAGCCTTCGGTGCCTTTGGGATACGTTCCTGCAACAGAGGTGTGTGTACAGAGCTCCTTGCTGAGCTCTGTGTGCAGGGAGAGGCTGCCTGCCCTCCCTGAGAGCTTCTGCATCACAGCCCATGCGAAGCATGGGGAAGAATTCTCCACTCTAAGAATACTTCAGGCAGCCTGCAGGCTCTGAAGCACCTCCCCGTCTGCCCTTCCTAGGGATGGCAATGATCTCTGAATATGAAATTAGGAATAATTACGATCCATTCATTGCTTTTAATAGCGAGCCCAATAATTCCAGTGCTCTGGCAGAAGTTCTCTGCAAGTTTTCTGTCCTGCTCGAGATGGAGCAGTTCCCACGCCAGCTGAATTAGCAGCTTTTCTCAGCACTGCTGTCTCACTGTGGAGGTATTGAGAGTCTCCTTGTTTTCCTGTAATTGATTCCACTCTGCTTTTAATTAGCGAAAGCAGGATCAAACTCCAACTCTCTGGTAATGAGGGCATTGTCTCTCCCTTGTTTACATTTCCCATTTAAAGTACGTTGGGTTTTTATCGCATTTCATTTTTCCCCTTCCAATAAGTCACTGCTAATTACCTGTTCTCATACGGATGGGATGCTTATGTTCTAGCCCCTTTATTTTAACAGGCTGCTAACAGAACAAGCACCAAATGACCCTGCACCCACTTCCAGTGCTGCAATGCCAGCAATGCCATGCCTAGGACCCCACTCCCTGCTACCATGCAGGGCCCACAGCTCCCTGCTGAGCAATGGGTCCATGGGGACTTCTTTGGGGTCACTCAGTGCTGGGCACTGCAAGAGCATGAGGGGGGTGAGAGCTTGAGAGCTCTATTTCACAGCTGACTTTCAAACATCAGCAGTAACTTTAGGAATTCTCAAGCACGTCTCAGGACAGCGAGCCATGTGCTCTGTTCCCAAAGCTAACATCAATTCAAGCAACAAAAAGAAGGAGCTGATGACTAAACAGCACTGTAGCCTGAAGATCACAGCAGCACTTTTAAGCTTCTGCCTGTTATCTTTGGGCTGTGGCTCTCTGATGAGTAACAAAATATTTGCTTTTCCCCCCCCCCTTATAGATCTGTCATTCCATTGGCAGAATCTTGTCCTGTTGACCCAAAGAACCTCAATTTCAAAGCTATTAAAACTTAATTTTCCATAACGGGCTCCCGAGACAGGCGCTAACGTTTCACAGAATAATTCATCCCTTCCTGTGGACAAAAATAAAAGAGTGGAAGATGAAAATACAGGTACAAAAGGAAGCAGCCAAGCAGCAGCACCCTGTGTGCCATCGCTGATATCCCCGCGTTCTGCCCTTGCAGCACAGGAGCAGGACTCTCCTTATGCCAAGCGCAGCCCAGTGCCATGGGAAGCAGGAGGTGTTTGCACAAGACATCTGCCATTTGCTGATAAAGCACTGGGAGATGCCACGCTGGGCTCTGCTCCACATTTGGACCCACAGCAGCTGCAGAACGGGGTGGGTTTCTGTGGTGAGGCTCTTCTCACAGCACAAAGCAGAGACCTTTGGTTTCTCTCCATCCTTCCTCACAGCCAAAGCCTCACATGCCCAAAACCCCCTGCTAATGCAATGGTTGCTGAGATCACCTCCAGGATCTCTGATCTGAATTTTGGGCGGTCCTGAGTGGAGCCAGCAGTTGGACTTGATGATCCTTCCATCTCAAGATGCCCTGTGGTTCAGTGGGTCTGCGGTGTGAGGAGCTGCAGGTGCCAAGTGAGCCAATGCCACCGAGCTGTCAAACCTTTTCCAGAACTCACTGAAGAGGAAAGGCTTCAAAGGAAAAGGCTTACAGTGAATTTCAGCATCTGGAGGAAGGGAACAAAGCAACATTTCTAACAGGAAAGGCATTTTTCCAATTCATCTCCAGACAGCTCATTTTGGAGGCTAACACCAGGCTGCACTAATTTCATTAATGAACAAAGCATACAAGGAAGGGCACAGTGAAGGAAAACATGCCATTTTCTGGGGCTGGCATCTCATTTTGAGATCCTGGGTAACTGACTGGCACTGGGGAAGGGCTGCATGTGGCCATAGAGCACTGCAGGGCCAGCCAGGCACTGCCACTGCACGTTCTCAGTCATGGCAATGCCTTGCTGGATAAGTGCTGCTTAAACCCTACAGATACAGTATCTGGAGTGGCATTTCAAAAGAGAAAATTGAGACAAGATTCATTACAGGCAGCAGTAAATGTCAAACATTTTATCAACTGTGTGAAGTGCCATGTTAAGCTGTCTTTTCCCCCCAAACCTTGATTAAAACCATGAATGCTTTTTTGATATTAATGTTATTCTCTGCTGTTTGCCACGTGTTTGGCTCCTCGTGGCAGCAGTCAGCTCGAGGCTGGCAGAGCAGCTCGGTGCATGGAGCAGGGCTGTGCTCTGCTCTGCGCAGGGAAAGGAGAGGTTTTCTCACCAGGAAACCCCAGTCCTGCATGGGGACAAAGCTCTGGGTCATCCCAAGGCAGCTCTTTGCTCCTGCTGTGCTCTGCTGCAGCCCCAGCCCTGCTTGGAAGCTCTACTGCACACATTTCTGTTTTGCAAAGGGAGTTTTCTGCAGCAGGTCCTTCTCGCTAAGCTGCGTTTAATTAAAAGCTAGCTTTTTGTTTCATGTACTAATTAGCAGTCTTTGTTTGCCGCCTCGGAGTCAATCAATATCTAAATCCATGCTCTAAATCCAGCACCATAACAGCCGGATGGAGGATTTCAAAGAATCCCAAAGTTGCTGCTGTTGTCATCTCCTGCGTGACTGCAGCCAGCAGCAGAGATGGCCGTGGGGAAACAAAGAGCTCTCAGATTTCCCCAAAGGCTCCAAACTCGCAGTAAAAGCACACTTTCACATGGATTTCCTCCAGAAGTTTTACGTATTTCAAATGGCAGCGTGCCTCAGGAAGAGCCCCCTGCAGCACCTGCTGGGCAGTGCTTGCTCCACCTGCACACCTCTCTGCGCCCCCACCCTCCACTGCTTTCTTCTCACTGACACGGACAGAACCGGCTTTTCCAACAAATTATTCATTGGGAAAATTATATCTGCTATAGATGCATCTGATCCTCTTAAAGGAGGCCACTTCTGATAGCATAACGAGCTCATGAAAAATACATAACCCAGAGTGCCTCTGGAATATTTATTTATCCAACCAGCCTTACTCACAGCATCAAACCCCCAACAAGGGTTGGGCCGCTTCATCTTGGGTGCTCAGTGCTGGTGTGCGACCGCAGCACAAAGCCCACAGGTGGGCAGGGGCTGCTCCTGCTGCTGCCATTGCCACCCTCATGGACATCATCAACCCCAAACTGGGATCCTTTCAGCTGATCGCATCAATAGTGAAGCTGTTGCTTTGATAATTGCCTTTCCGTTGATAGCAGCGCCGTTCTCTTCAGTGGATGCAGTGACACAGTAAGTTGCACTGGGCTGTGGCACAGCAACAAAGCTGTAAGTTAACTTCATAGGGACCAGTAGGTAAAATAAATGGTAGGAAAGGAATCAACTGTGAGGATTTGCGCTGTTAGGAAGCAGATGGGGTGCTGTTCCTTGCTGGCATTTTCAAATGACTTCATCTCTGCTGCGGTGGGCTGGAGGATGATGCTTTGCTCAGCACAGCACAGATCCACTTGCACCGTGCCACTGCTGTAAATTGATCTTGTGAATCCATGCTATTGAGCTCAGTCTACAAACTCACTGACACCAGCATGGATACCCAGTAGATACAGAATCATGTAGTCGTAGAGTCAGTGAGGTTGGAGGAGACCTCTAAGATCATGCAGCCCAACCATAAACCTACCACCAATACCCCCCCACTAAACCACATCCCTTGGTACAACACCCAAACATTTCCTGAACGCCTCTGGGGACGGTGACTCCAGCACTGGCTGTGGAGAAGAAATGCTCCCTGATCTCCAACATGACAACTCCAACTGATGCTTACACCATACACCCTATAAATGCCACGGAGCAGAGTCGCTTCAACAAAAATCAGACCAACCAGGCTGGAAAAGGAACAAACAGAAGCCGAGTGAGGGTTTGTGGTACTGCAGGGATTGCTCAGCTGTGATCAGGTGGCTGTCTAATGACACCAGTGATGTGTGATCTGTGGGCAGTGCATGGTTCAGCCTTCACAACGTGCTCAACCAACACAGGGCAACCCACCCCAACCCCAACGCTTTGGTGGCTCTGCTGATGGGCAGCGTGGCACTCTGCAGCACTGAGTTATCAGAGCTAACTGCTAGATTTAAACCTCCCAGCACCACTAAAGTGGATTAGAGTCAGCTATTTAATTATCTTAATAAGGTTTTTATTTATTTTTTAAGCATGGGCTGGGAGCTGG